GGGGAAGCAGTGATGTTGAGTCGCATTGCTGGCCTTGCAAAGGAGAAAATATTTCTTTCAGGCAATGCAACAGAAAGTAGTTTGCTGTCTGTTAATAAATTGTTCACCAGTTCTGACCTTCAGTGATAGGAAGTATGGTGATTTAGTCATTCCTTGGAGATCCCTATGTATCAGAGAATAGAGAGTATTAAAAAAAATAGCTGAATTATTCAGGAATTACCATATGTAAATTATTGGATAAAACACTGGTGTTACAGCAATGAATGCAGGATAAATCTGGTTGATATTATTATAAACCTTATAACCCAAAAAATGAAGACAAAATGAAAAAATAAATCACTGTACTTGAGTAGTGTTGTAATATCATTGGGATCTTACAGGATGCTTTTCACAGTGCTTTTCATCTTGACTAGTAGTATTGAGCGTGAATGTTAAAGTTTCCCAGAATATTGGAGACACAGAAAATCATTAGAAAATGGTTCAAAGGGATGAAGGAAGAGCAGATATAAATATCCTATGGCAAAACAAAGAATAAACAATAAATATATAAACAAAATAAATTGGCTAATTTGAGAGATGTATTCAATGTGACTGGAGAGAAAATTCAACTAAGAATATCTAGTCTTTGGAGAGGCTACAAAATAATATAAGAATGACTTGTGTATATTTCCAAAACACATAAACCTCTAAATGGCTTAACATCTAATCCTAATTACTGATATGCTGTTTCAAAAATAAATTAAAATTTCTTAATATAGATGCAAAAAACAAGCAATAAAAGGTGAATGTTATGAAAAACTTTTGAGGGCATTATTTGATAACAGCTTCAGATAAATTACCATAGTATATCACCTTTTGGAGATGCAAAGATAGAAATTGGTTACTTAGATAAGCTCAAGAAGATGAAGACAAATGACTGAGAAGCGAAAAATAAAATTAAATTAAAAAGCTATGGATTTTGACAGGATCTATCAAAAGTGAGAAGACTCTTGTGACTTGTTAGAATTCTTAGGTATCATCTGGTGCTGGCAGCCAATTTCTGGAAATAATTAAAATGTGTGCTGGTCACATCAGCCAGAGAACATGAAATCATCTTCTACAAGCTTGTGGGCAGTACATCTCATAAACTATGAATAGAACATCTTGGTGTAAATTTATACATGACTCACTCAATCCTTTTGCCCACAAAGAAAGTCTCCAGGATTACTCAAATTTTATCTCCAGAACTCGGTTGCAGATTCATCTCCCCTGCTTTCTACCGGCAGCAATTTGGGAAAAGCTGCTTAACCATTTGGTTTAATCATCTGTAAATGGAACTAGTGATCTATTGTATTCAATTATGCTCTTGACACAAGGTACTAGGATATAATAGATAAGCTACTGAGAAATGCTTCATGAGGAGTAAAGCATTTTTTACTTTTGAGTTTCTGTTATTGTTATTGAGAAGAGCCTTCTTGCTCTTTATCTGGTGGTACACATCAGGATTATTCACTCTGAGATATGTCAAATATTAAAAGTCATGCTTACTAAATTTTTTAGTAAGCTTGAAGAACAGCTATGAGATGATGAGGTTTTTGAGGAGTCTGTATTTGTAGATGAACATATTAAATTGCAGTTCATCTGAACAGCAGATAAAAAAGGTGAGATATCTGGGTAGTAAAGAGAAAGGAGAGTGGTGGGTAACTGTGTGAGTTGCTGATATAGCTGAGGAAGACATTGAGCCAGGAGCATTGATATTAGAAGAGGTTGGGGGAAAAACAGCTCTCTCCTTGAGGGATGATAAAGGGAGGAATAGCTAACTCCTGCCTGGAGGTAAAAAGCTTAGAAAATACTCATTTTACACAGAGTTAAAAAGGAAGAAAAATAGAAAGGCAAAGCATTAATGGGACAAAGAAATGTAGTATTATCTGTTGAAGATACTTTTATAGTTTTATCAACTGGACTAGGGAGACATGTTCACGTGTTGAAATATTCAGTTTGTAAGCTAAATAATGTGATTAAATGTAAAAGAGAAAATGAAATAAAAAATGTTAAAAAGTGATATAATTAGATAAAAATTGTATATATTTAAGGTATACAAGATGATGTTTTGAGGTGAGTATGTATTGTGAAATGATTACCACCATCAAGCTAATTAATATGTCCATCACCTCAAATAGTGACTTCTTTTTTTAATATACTGAGCATACTTCAGATCTACTCTCTTAGAAAATTCAAGCAAACCTCCATGAAGCTGGGAAAAAAGATAACACAGACATTAGTCTATGTAATTGTATTATATCAGTAGTAAATAAACACATAATAGATCAATAAGAAGAAAAAAAGGCGGGGGAGTGTGAGGAACAGGCGGAGAACAAGGAAGATAAGCTAAGAAGTGAATGTATGGAATAAAAAATGGTGGTTGGCTTTCCATCTTGTCTCCAGTAGTGGGCATTGCGTGTATCTCAATTTTTGGCAGAGTCCTCACAGTAGCCTATTTTATTCTATTTATAGGTTCGTATTAGCTCTAAGTGTGTAAAGTGACTCATGAATGAAATGGCAGAGTACTTTTATCTATTGTGAATTAGTATGACTTCAGACATGGGTGGGATCTGTGTAGCGTTCCTCTGTCTGACTTTTTTTTTAATCATATTAAAAAAACTGAGTGCTTTTACTTGATTCCTCAATAATGTTGTTTGTGCTATATGACATGATTTGTGATCTGAGGTTAAAAATTCCAGACTTTTCCTCATCCTTGTAGCCACTGGTCTTTCTCAGGGTCTCTGATTTAGAATGGACTTGATTTTTTATTATTATTAATCAGAAGCTAATTCCCAAAGTCTCAAATTCTGCTGCATAAACTGAGGGCTCAGTGCAGATTCCCTAGAGAGGTATCCAAAAATCAAGTTCAGATTCTTTTAAATGTTGTAATTTTAGTTTATTATTATTATTATTTTAATTTATATTTCATCCCTGTACATCTTCATTTTTTTTTTTAGAGTTTTTTTGCTATAGGGTTTGTGCACTTGCCAGAAAGATAGAGACAGAGAGATAGAAAGCGAGAAATCACTCCCCACCCCAGGGGGAATGGCCACGCCACAATCCCTTCTCCTCCATTCTCCTCTCGGGATCTTGGGCACGCATGCACACATGCCCGGCGTTAGTTTAAGCCACCAGGTCCCGGGCTCGAACCGTGGTCAGCTGCATGGGAGTTCAGCGACATAGCCATTATGCTGGTCCTATCCCTGTAGATCTTTACAGTGTACAAAATGTTTTTTTCTCAGCATAAATATAGTGCATATTAGTCTAGTCAATGGCATTACCATATACATTGTCATCAGAAGATAACTTCTCATTTATGTGTCTATTAAATGGATGGATTGTTTTTACCCTGTTCCCCTTTCTCCTACTCCCTATTTTCTACTCCCTAGTTCAGATTTTTACATATTTTCTTGTTTTCCTTGGCTCTTTTCCTTCACTCTTCCTGACACTCTCTTCTATGTCAAGCATTCAATCGCTCCCTCAATTTTTTTAATACCCTAGGTCTGTGTCTTTTATCCCTCCTTTTTAGATAGTTAGAACTTGTAATCCATTCTTGTTTGTTTTTTTCTGCAAGGGTTTCCATGGATCCACCTGCACTTGATACTTAGTTTTTGACACATGAACTAACGTGTCATCTGTGCTCTTTTCAGTCATTTATTGATGGGTTTGCCTACATATACAAACTAATTTTCTAATCATTTTAACTCACTGGTTTTGAGCATTTTCTCCCAGCACTTGGTAAGACTTTCAAGGTCCCTATAAAGATACGGAAAAGTTATCTCTATCCTATTTCCAATTTAGGAGGCCTCGGATATATTACATGGTGTGAATTTCTTCACATGCAGAAGCATACACAACAACTGGTCACTATCCTTGATCTAGAGACACACAGTCCAGGCTGCAAACAAGCTTAATTTTAACTTGGGTTACCAGATTCAGCATCAGATAATGACTGTTCCTTAAAAAGTTTCTGAACCACTCTAATGATTATAGAACTATACCTCCTCAAGAATTTGAGACATTGTATGTCCCCACTTAATATATATCAAGTATCTGCACTCAACGACCAAAACTGATTGACTAAAAGATATACAAACACAAGACATGGGTGTGAAGGTCAGATGTGACGAGTGTGGAGAAGAGGGACCTGGGGAAGGACATTTGGAGGAGGTATACGGAGGCAGAGCATTGATGGGACGAGGAGGTGTGGTGTTATCTGTTGAAGATATTTTGATCAACTGGACTGGGAGAAATGTTCACATATTGAAATGTTCACTTCATAAGCTAAACATTGAATGTATATAAAAAATAAATTAATAATAATAGAAAAAGAATTTGGTCAAGATTCTATCCTTGGAGATCATCTGAATTTCTACTGATAAAAACCCTGAGGAACAAATTACAGATCTAGGACAGAGACAAGAGAGAGTAAAAGTTTAGTTAGAAAAAGAAAAAGAGATTAAAAACACATAGTCCACCCTGCCCATTCTCTCATTTTCTTCTATACTCTTCTTTGTGTTATATGTTTGAAAATCCGTCCTTGCCTTATTTTATATTTCTGAAGATGTAACAAATGAAAACCATGTTTTAGAGGTGTTTTAGAGTCTTTAGGACCCAATCCTTTCCCTGTACTCTTGGAAGATCATATACTATTTTTCTTTTGCAAAGAAACCAGCTCACTATTTCCCTGCCTCATTCTGCCCAGGTGCTGCTGTGGAGACCTCAAAGAGAAAACTTCATTAGATAACATTACTAACCTGAAATGTTGTTTTCCTTTCTCCAGTACCTGTTTATGAAAACTGAATCTTTAGTCTTTTGAAGGATTTGGCCAAAACATCATCTGTTCATGATCTGTATCAAGGGCCAATTGGTGGAAACATTTATTTTAGAAATTTCTCCCCAGAGACCAATCCTCATTTAGGTCACTCATCACATTTCCCTCTATGTCCTCCTGCCTATCCTCCCTTTCTGCCTTCTTTCTTCCATCATTTTCTCCTTTATTTGC